CATATGCATTCATTCCATCAATGCCCCTCATGATTTTATACACCTCAATAAGGTCACTCCTCATTCTCCTAAGTTCCAAGGAATACGGTCCTATCCTGGCCAACCTCTCCCTATAACTCAAGCCTACTGATACTGGCAACATCCTCATAAATCTTCTTTGCACACTTTCTATTTTAAGTATGTCTTTTCTATAACAGGGTGACCAAAACTGTACACAATACTCCAAGTGCAGTCCAAAACATCCCCACTTGTTTCCCTTATTTCCTTAGCATCCATGATTCTCTCCTCAGTAAACACTGTGGAGAAATATTCATTAAAAATCTCTCCCATCTCCAGTGCTCCACACATAGACAGCCATGCTGATCTTTGAGGGGACCTATTCTCTTCCTAGCCACCCTTTTACTCTTAATATAGCTACAGAACCTCTTTGGATTATCTTTAGCCTTATCCGCCAGATCTATCTCATACCCTCTTTTTGTTCTTCTGATTTCCCTCTTAAGTGTTCTCCTACACTTTTTATAGTCATCTAGGAATTCACTTGAGCCCGATAGACTACATCTTGTCCCTAGAGAATTAGGAAAGTAGAAGAGGAGTCTCTGAAACAGAAAGACAACTCAGATATTCAGTTATCCAAAATAATTTTAGAAAATTTCATTGACAAAGATGAAGGTAAACAGAATAAGATTCACGCCCTGATGAAGAATCATCTAGACTCGAAATGTTAGCTTGTTCTCTCCATGGATATTGTCTGACCTGGTGTGATTTCCAGAACTTCTTTGTTTTCAGAATAAGATTGACATGTTTAGCCCAACTTCTTTACTAGAGCCATAACAAGTAGATATACTGATTTGAAGGAATTATACCAAACAGCCAACTCAGAAATTGAGTCAGAATCAATGCCAGGGCATTATTACTTGAAAGGCTAAGTAGTAATAAGGAAATGGAGATTACCTGAACTTCTAGCCAATGAAGAACAGGCAGTGATCCATCAGCTGCTAATTCCATCTAAGTATCATGTTGAAATATTACAAGTAACTTTCAAAATTCCAATTGTGGGTGACTTAAGCATTTGGGAAAGCCAGGCTTAAATATTATTTTTATTAGCTAGGGTTACATAAAGATGTAGTCACATTTGCCAAACATTCATACATGTCAGGGAGTGGGGAAACCCCAATTATCATTGGAAACATTTCCTTCAATTCTAGTATCAGCTTTTGAAGAACTGTTTACTAGGGTCTTAATAGATTATATGGAATCCCTACCTAATGCATGAATGGGAATCAGTAACTTTTAATAATTATGGATTTTCCACAAGATTTCCTGAAGACATGGGTTTAGGAAAATTCACAGCAGAAATTGTAGTGAAAAAGTTAGCTCAACCTTTTTTACAATGTATGGATTATCTAGAAAAATAAAATCTGCACCTAATCTGATTGTATGTCACAAATATTCAAAGAAATAATGACTACTTTGGAAATAAAACAATCTAAATATGTCTGCTTATTACCCACCATCTCCAGGTGCATTGGAAAAATGGCATCAAATTTTGAAGACCAGTATGCTTCCAGCCCATCTTTCAAATTTGAGAGCCAGTAACGTCATTTCCTGACTTCCCAAAGCCTGTACATCATCTCAAAAGCACAAGTCAGGCATATGATGGAATATTCCCCACTTGATTAGATATCCACTCCCTCCTCCACTGATATTCAGTAAAAACACAGTATACTATCCACAAGATGCACTTCAGAAATTTGCCAAAGGTCCTCAGACACCACCTTCCAAACCCATGACCACTCTCATCTAGAAAGTCAAGGGCATCAGATACATGGAAATACCACCACTGGCAAGTTCCCCTCCAAGCCAATCACCATCCTGACTTGGAAATTTATTGCCAGGCTGCTGGGTCAAAATCCTGTAATTCTTTCCCTAACAACATTGTGGTCTACCTTCATGTGGATTGCAGTGCTTCAAGAAGGTAGGTCACCACCACCTTCTTCAGGGCAACTGGGGATGAGCAATAAATGCTGGTCAGCCATCTGAGTTTTATTGAAGCTGCACTTATCCAAGCAAGTGGGAAGTATCCTATCACACATGTGCCAAGTTGATGGTGGATGGGGTTTGGGGAAATCAGGTGGTGAGTTATTTGCTACAGTATTCATAGCCTCTAGGATATTGAAAATGGGGGATTTGGTGTTGGTAATGCCATTGAATGTCAAGGGGTGGTTAGACTGTCTCTTATTGGAGACTGTCATTGTCTGGCATTTGTGCAGCACAAATGTTACTAGTCACTCATCAGCCAAGCCTAGATATTGTCCAGGTTTTGTTATATTTGAACATGGACTACTTCAGTAACTGAGGCAAGCAGTGTTGCGCATCATGGAATAATTGGTGAACATCCCCATTTCTCATCTTATGATGGTGGGAGGATGGTAACTGATGAAGCAGTTGAAAACAATTGGGCCTAGGACACTATCCTGAGGAACTTCTGCAGAGATGTCCTGGAGCAGGGATGATTGCCCTCCCATAACCACAACCATTTTCCTATGTGCCAGGAATAACTCCAATCACAGGAGGTTTTACTCCAATTTACAGTGATTTCAGTTTTGCTAGAGCTCCTCGAAGACACACTTGGACAGTCACTCTCACCTCGCCTCTGGAATTCAGCTCTCTTGTTCATATTTGAACAAAGGCTGTAATGAGGTCAGGAGACAAGTGGCCCTGGCAGAACCCAAACTGGGTGTCACTGAGCAGGTAGTTACTAAGCAGGTGCTGTTTTACAGGACTGTAATGATATCTTCCATCACTTTACTAACAGTAGAGATGGACTGATGAGGCAATAAGTAGCCAGGTTTGATCTGTCCTGTTTTTTTCTGTAACAGGATAGACCTTGGCAATTTTACACATTGTTGGAAAGATGCTAGTTTGTAACTGTACAGGAGCAGCTTGGCTAGGGGAAGCAGCATATTCTTGAGCACAAATCTTCTGTAACATTGCTGGAGTGTTGAAGGATCCATTGCCTTTTCGTAGCTAATACTCCAAACTGTTCCTTGATAGCACATGAACTAAACAGAAATGTCTGAAGACATTGTGTTGCTGAGGACCACCGGATCATTGACTCGGCCCTTCTGGCTGAAGATTGTTCAAGTTCCGTTCATACGGCCAAACAAATATTAGCTTTTATAACAGCAAATGAATTTTATCAATGCAAAGTCATGATGTTTGGAATGAAAAATGCATGAGTAACGTTCCAATGAAGTCATTGAGGAATTATATAATGGGTTGTTTACATTCAAGACTTTGTTGTTTTCAGCAAAACCTGGGAAGAACATTTGCACCACTTGTTTGAATAGCTACAGAGAGCCAGTTTGGTTATAAAACTGGCTAAAAGTTTACTTGTCAAAAGTAAACTTGTCAAAAGTAACTGATGTGTGCTACAACGTAGGACTATGCCAAGTTGTACCTAGATGTGAATTTGAAGGGCTATTTTCAATTTTGCCATTCCTGGGACAAAACAAAATTTTGCGATTATGTTGGCATGAGTGGATTTTAGTCAAAGTTTATTCCAAACTTCAGCACTGGCATGTTCCTTTATTGAATTTATGAAAGAAAAGCAGAAAATTTAAAGAGAGAAAATAATATCATAGTGCATTTGACAACTTGACTATTGCGCTGATAATCATCACAGTTTTAGCAGTTCTGATTTATAAGAACCATGCAAACTGCTGTTGATGGTGGTAGTGGTAGTAGATGGGTAATTTTACAATAAAATTGAGATGAGGATCAAACTTTTTTTTATTTTTTTTTAAATAAAGTGACCACATTAACAGAAATATTTGGTAGAGAATAAGACATTGAGCCTTGTGCTGGCTCTGTACGGAAATAAATTTGGAAGAAACTGTTACTTACATGAACCCTGATCCTTTGAAATTTTGGGAAAAGTGTCCCGTTCTTCGCAATGGACTTTGGGCTGAGCCTTTTTTCTGGACATACAAACATCACCACCCAGATGCCAGACTAAACCTTCCCTCACCCACTGTCCTGTTATGTACCTCTCGTCCACTTACTTTCCGCATACCTGTCAAAATGGCTTTGGAACCTTCAAGCATTTCACTTAATGGAATATAGGCAGCTATTGCTATTTAAAAGGGGATACAGTTTCTGCAAAGGTTCACTGAGGTTACACAAGAGATTTGCTGGACTGCATCTGTTGTTACATCCTAAATTGGAAATCCAATCAGAAAAGTCCTGGGAAGGTAACTGGGTAATGATTTTGTTGAGAAAAAAATATATAGGGATTGCACCCCAAATCAGAAGACTTGGGTCCACGTTTACCAGACTTCTTTTCACCCAGTCAGGCAATGTGATATTGGACTAGTATTTTGTTGACTAGTTGTTCTTTATTGGTACCTTACGAATAAGATGACCATTGAAAATTACACACAGTACTATTTGGTTGGAGTAGAACAGAAAATGACAGAATTACTCAGCAAGCCAAGCAGCAAGTATGGAGAAACAAGTTTTTAGTGTTTGACTTTATTTCATTTTTCCAGCATAGACAGCACAGCTCTATTTTATTCTGGCACTGTTAATGCTAGGAGAACTGACTTCAGCACTGCCAAACATGTATATGAAAACTTTTACTAGGAACTTGGAGAGTTAAGATGTCCAGAAAATGTTGGGAGAGGGATTACTAAAATGCCCAATTATTAATACCCATAAAATAAGGACTTCTAAAAAAAAAGTGTTTTTTTTCCTGTCGTTAGAGAAAATATTACACCATTCCCAACGGAGCCCAAAATTAAATCAACTGGCACAGGGAAAAAAAAAATCAGGAGGACCCCTGTTTCAGTCCAGACTATTTTTCCTATTGGGAGAAGGCCAGGGGGAGCTAGCTGCGGGCCAGGTCGCTCTGCGGTATAAACATACACCAAGTGGGCCACAAACTCTCACAGGAACACAAACACAGCTCCGTCCCAATTACAGTAGTGCCTACTACTCACGTCCGTCTTGAAGAAGACCACTCCGAAGATATTGAAGTGACCTGTGAGGATACAAATAGCATTGGCCATGCCTTCCACCGCCCCAGACTCCCCGAACTGATCAAAACCACCGAAGGCAGCTCACTCCACACATGCGCAGAGGGCTCCGTATCCTCCCTCCAGCAGCAGAGCCCCAGGTGAGCAGCGAGGCTGGACAGTTGCCTAACATGAATGCACACATTCCCAATCTTACTCGCTTTCTTCATTGAAAGTAGTCTCTTCCAGTTTCTCCCGGATTTTTCAACCATGATCACGACCGTAACAGCTAGCGTTTAATCTGCTTACCCGTGAAGAGCGGGGCTTTTTGGATTGACTGATGGATAATTAATGTCATCTAGACTGGAAACGTTACGCACTTTTTCTGTATGGATGCTGGCTGACCTCCTGTGACCGCCAACATTGTTTTCTATTTTCAGTACAGATACCAGCATCTGCAGTAATTTGCTCCTAATTAGTAATTCCAAATCGATTCTCAGCTAGATGGCATACGACTCCCTCGTTTCTTCTTACAAGCCGACGAGGTTTCTCCTATTTACTAAATCACTTCCATTGTTACACTGTTTATTATTAACTCATCTTAAAAATTATACATTTAGAACAGTATTTTTCCAATGAGTTGGATCACTGCCTTGCCACTGTAACAGCAATTTTTCGGTATCAGCGTCCACATTAAGAAAATTCAAGAATCTAAACTGGTAATTAATAACTAACCAAGAGCATTGAATGAGATAGAAAATTCGTTTTTAAAATGTGAATTAGGTTAAAAGATTACAACCACAACAGTAATCAAAGCTGCACCTAAACACTAAATATAAAAACTGTTAGTCATATGGTATCTTTAAAAAAAAAGTTAACTTCTGCTTTGGACATAAATCACTGATGGAACATCCAGAATTCTATGGAACATGAAACAAAACTCTAAAATTGACTACAGCAAATTTCTCATTCCTAAACCACTTACCAAGTTGGCTATCCAACAGTCCAGGATTATCTACTAAAAAAAAACTTTCCACTCAGTCTATCTTTCCAAAAATTCTCATGAATTACATTTCAATCAGATCCTCTCTCATTTCTTTTAAATGAGGAAATATATGCCTATTCCAAACCCTTCTTGGATAATTCCCTCACCTCATTATACCCACAGGAGCCCAAGTTTACACTTATTTGTTAAGGACACCAGAACTGCATGCATACATTCTCCAGGTATAGCTTTGTGATCCACTGCATAAAATAGATCATTTACACCAATCTCTTTTTCTAAAACAAAAAGAGAGAAAACCTATTGGTCTTACTAAATATTTAACTGCATGTTAACTTTGATTCCTCCTGAATGCTATTTCCCTTCTGCTAAGTTTCCTCAAAAAACAAATTCTATTTCAAAATTTGCTAGCAAAGCAGACTTGCTTCACATCACACCCCCATTGCTAGGTTTCTTGCTCAAGTCTATCCTTTTGAAGCCCTTCGGAGTCCTCTTACACTGTTAGATGGGAAAATATCAAACTCAAATTGTACACACATTTCACTAAAATGCTAGCGATCAAGCCATACCCCACAAATGACAGTCTGTAAACAAACTGCCCTGCTGACTCAAGTCAGTTTTACAGCCCAGGAAGAGGCATTTTGGCCAATCATGTTAAATTTTGCTTATCAAGCATCTAATACTTTTGGAAGCACTTAGCACAGGCTTTCATACTATGGCATTCAAGTGTTCATTTTAGTATATGGATGCCAAGAAGGTTCCTACATCCGCCACCCTGTCAAACAGTCCCAGATACTCACCACCCTCCCTCCTTCAACCTTCTGCCCCCTGGTAACCAATCCCTCTAGAAGAGGAGGGCAATTCTTTCCTTTTTTAAAGGAATCAATAACAAACAGCAAATGCTGAAATTTGCTGAACAGCATGTCCGAAACAAAAATATTGCTTGCCAAAGTCAGCAGGTCTAGCAGCATCTGTGGGGACAAAGCAAAGCGCAGTTAATGCTGAGTCCAGTGACCCTTCATCAGAACTGTTCTGATGAAGTCACCAGACCCCAAAATATTAACTGTGCTTTCACCCTGCATGTTGCCAGCAATTTCTGCTTTTGTTCTTTCCCAGCTACATCCCTCAATTTGTACATCTGAGGGACACTCTCCAGTCTTCTCTGCTCTATGGAGAACAACCAAGCCTATCTAGTCTCCTTTGTAACTGAAGTACTCCAGCCCAGACAATATCCTGGTGAACCCCATAAATTAATGTTAAAATATCAAACTCTCACCCTCTAGTGCAATCATCCTTCCTATTGTGGTAACTAGAACTGCACACAGTATCCCTGTGGCTGACTAATGTTTGCATCGTTCCATCAACCTCCCAGCTCATAATTCATTTCTGAACTCAAAGTGCAAGTCAGCATTCCACTCTACTTGGAATCTTTGATGGATTGATTGTTATATTGTCTTATATGCAAGAAAAAAAAAAGGGGGGGCTGTTTGAAGGTATTCAGAAACTGTCATGCAGTGAAGTTTGAGTGTTATTACTGGTGTCCCTCTTGCTGAGATTCTGGCCAAGAGAAATCAGAAACTGGAGGTGCACACGATTCAATGTGAGTAAGCGAACACAGCTGCTAAAAAGAGACCAAGGCTAAAACTGCGACAGTCAGCTATAGCTAGGTCTATTCAGAAGGCAGTGTTCAAACAGATCATTGAGCCAAGTGTCAGGCTCCACATGTTCTAGCAAAGCATTAAATAACTAAATAAATAACCTAAAAAAAACCACAAGCATCCCACTTGCCTTCTTAACCACGTTCTACCACTTTCAAGTATCTATGGACATAGGAGATCAGCATCCCTGTACTTGGAGGTCCTACCATTCACCATTTGCTTGTTTTGTCATCCAAAAATCCATCTGCTCATACTTAGAATTAAATTTAACTTTGTTCTGCCCATCTGTATGGTCCTGCAGCCTAAAGCTTTCCTCCTCACTATTTACCATACCAATTTTCATGCCATCTAGTAGCTGCTCAAATCACCTACATGAATTAGTGTGCTCATTAATAATGTTGCCAGAGTAACCAAGCATCAAGCCTTGCAGCATACCACTGGACACAGGCTTCCAGCCACCAGAACAACCCTCTTTGTCACGAAGGAAATTTTGGATCCAATTTATCAAACTGCCCTGGATCCCACTGGCTTTTAATATTCTTGACCAATATTGACACTATGTCAAAAGCATTACTGAAGTCCATACAGACTGCACCACTAGAAATAGACATGTCTAGTCAATTCCTCAAACTTCAAACCAGCCAATCTCCCCAACAAAGCCATGCTGATTCTTCTTGTTTAATCCTTGATAATTGAGATTAAATCTGTTCCTCAATTTCTTTTGAAAGTTTCCCTAGCCGTTAGGTCTGGCTGTAGTTTCCCAGTTTGTCCCTACCACACTCCTTGAACAAGAACGTTATATTAGCTGCCCTTCAGTTCTCTAGCACCGCTCCTCAGTTGATCAGAGGAATTTAAAAATGAATGTCAGACTTTCTCTCTCAGCTCAGACAGAAGCCTGGGATACATCTGGAGATTTATCCAGAGGCTAAAAAAAAAAAAATCTGTTAAATAGCTCCTCCTCAATGCCAAATTGAGAAATCATATCTTAATTCCAATTCCTAATTTCTATACCTATAATCATCCTTCTCCATGTTGAATAGAAATAAAGTACTCATTGAGAACATCACCTGTCTTTCAACTCCAAGTTGTTCTTTGGTTCCTAATCAGCTCAACTGTTTCCCTGGTTATACTCTTGCCCCTGACATTTGAACCCTTAGATATTCTTTTTTACCCAATGTTCTCTCATGCCTCCTTGTGGCCTCAGAGTTTAAGTAATCCCCTGCACTGTCTACACTCCAGTTTCTGCTGATTGGAGTCCTTTCAGTACTAAAGGACTCCCCCCTCCCATTATCCAATTCTGTATATGCCTTGACAGGGTCAAACTTGGATCGACCATTCACCTATTAAAGCAGAAATCATGCTAATACATTATCTCCAATACCAAGTCCTGATTTCATGCAATACAGTTGAAAAAGTTGATAATTTACTGAAGATTTCTAGAAAAACAACAACTGTTTAACTAGTTAGGGCAAATATCCTTTTAACATGTGAAAATCTTGACAATTCACTGGTATGGGCTATGTTGTACACCAAATTGTTCAGGCATTTTAGTACCTACTTTAGGAAATACTGGGAAGATAATTTCCCTCATAGGAGGGTCTAAGTCCAGAGGACAGTCTCAGAATAGAAGGGTGACAATTTCAGACAGGAAGGAGGAATAATTTCCTGAGGGTTTAATGCATTTGGAACTCCTTGCACAGGGAGCTGTGGGAGCAGATCCTTGAAGTGTTTTTAAGACTGAAATGGATAGGTTCTTGTTCAGTAGTGAAATTAAGGGTTGAGGAAAACACAGGAAAGTGGATGCAAGGATTGTCAGATTAACAATGATCCTATTGAATAGAGCGGGCTTAAGGGGTCATAGTGTCCTCTGGTGCCTACTTATGTAGTTCCTGTCTGCTGCTGAACCAGCATGACCTGAACATTCTAGCTGAAAAAGGTAGGAGCTTTCAAAGCTACTAGTGTTAGACAAGGTGGTCATGTCTGGTCAAGCTAGAAGCTTACTGCTCTCTAGGAAAGATGTGAATTTTTAAATTTATGAACAAAGCATATGTAGCTGGTCATCTTTCAGTTCGGAAGACAAGTTCAAAAAGCTGGCTTGTGACTCCAGTGAACAAATGAGATTACTAAAAAGTTCATACGAGTACCCTTGCTCTGAAGTTTAGATCTATGACAATGAAAGTTAGATGGAGTGGCCATGTGTTCAAGTTAGTAGTGTCCAGGGATGTGCAGGCTAGGTAAGCCATGGAATATGTGGCATTACAAGGATAGATGGGGGTGGGATGGTTTGTGTGGCATGCTCGTCCAAGGGGCTGAACAGCCTCTTCCTGCATGTTGGGATTCCAGGATTACACAAAACATTAGGACATGGGCAAAAATCATGAAAAGGTGCATTAAAGTAATATCAAGAGTAGCTTAGGGAATTAAAGCCACATCTGTGATGAGGGGGAGGAACTGTTTACAGGTGAACTAAAAATAATAAAATCTGACTTTTCACTGGGATTTTCAGGGCAAGATTCAGCCAGTTAGGGTACACCCACTATTTAAAAAAAAAACACAACCAACAAGGCCCAC